CGGCTCGGCGGGCGGACCCTCTGCTGTCTTGGGTACCGGGCAGCCTTCCCTCGGCGGCTTGGTTCACGGCTTTCGGATAATCACCTTGAACGCGCTCATCTGTCCCTGACATCACAGTAGTATTATTGCTTTGGTTGGGAAATGCTTGACTGACCCATGGCGCTGAAGTTCTCATTGTTAGTATTTTTTCTAATGTATCTTTATTGTTGGAAGTATTACAGGTGTCCCATTTTTCCCCCCATTGACCCGCCCCCGCCTCGATACCGCCCCTCCCTAGGCCTTCACCCCGTTATTGTCTGTGTCTATGAGTTATGCATATAACTTCTTAAATAACTGCCCTGGCTAAAGAACCGCCGCAAGTGAAGTTTCTACTTAAGTCTTTAATACTTCCGCAGTGCTTGGGAAGTCACAACATCTCAGAAAAAATTATCTAGGAAATTATGACTCTGCGGCAATATTGGCCTGTTACCTTCTGCATAATGTCAAAGGCAAAAGTAGAAACATAATGCGGCTAGCCTCATTTGCTGATGTCTGACTCATTGTGCTTGAGTGACTTGCTTATAACAACAGTAGCCAAACCAACATCGGAAGCTGGGGGTGTGAACAGCCACTCTGGAATTCTACTCCTCTACCAAACTCCTGTGTATACATAAATCTTATTGGCTACTTGGAAAGTATGGAAAAGTGGAAAGAAGGGTAAACGTCACAGGCCCAGGCCTCATAAGTCTCAGTGGTTTTGGGGAACTCACTTGCAGTCTTTTTCTCTGTGTGCTGTTTTACACAATTGAGATCAAACTGAATATACTAAATTTTAAATAGCATTGTTTATTCTGATTATAAAATTAAAAAGATGTTTTTGTACAGTTTGGTTGTTAAACGTACTGGACTAGCATTATCTCCATGGCATATTGTCAAGGAGAAGTTTATTAATCTTTACAAATTTAAAAAGAAATGACTCAGATCATTCTTAATAAGTTTTAAAGATGCAGAAAACCATTACTGTAGTTCCTTGGAAGTGAAAATATCTTAAGTCACTCCTTGTAAGTCTGCTTTTGCATTTTGGAAAAGTAGTTTTCACTTATTATTTCTTTAGCTATTTTTTTTTCTTTCCAACCTTGTAAAACTGGACTTCTTAACTTGGATGTCAGTGTATGGGTTTGAAAGGGTTGGGCTTCAAACTCCCTGAAATAATATGCAACATCATATATTCACGTGCATTATTATGTGGACAAGACCAGATTCTCAGATGTATCCTCCAAAAGTTAAGATCTGGTGTTGATATATAGTCATTGTTAATATGTTAAAACAGCTTCAATCATCATTTTAAATTGTGTTTAAACTTGGCACAGGTGTTGCTTCTACACTGTGAGATGAAGACTAGTTCAAGAAATACCAAGCGTGAAGCAGAAATTCAGCCAAGGGAACTAATGCAGGGCCACAGCTCTGCCTGGACTCTAGAATCCTCTTGGTAAAACATTTCAGTTGGATTTTCAAGTTTGTAAAGAAGGGTCTTTAATTTGGGGTTCAGGAGTTATCTTTAGAACAGTATTTATCAACACACTGATTGAAAATGTAGATTTCTGTGCCTCACACCTATGGTATAGATCCTGATGTAGATCTTGGATGGAGCCAAATAATTTCCTATTTAATAAGCATGCCTTGTGAGCTTTCTCAATCCTCAGATTTGAGACCCTTCTAATTATGTGTGGGACTTTTCTTGGAGAAGTGTCGTAACTTTCATTAGATCTGCAAAGGAATCCATGACCTGGAAAAAAGGTAGAGAAACACTGGTGTAAAGGAAAACCTCTTTTATTGGTAACCTTGAGGCTTCAGAGGAGGAGTCCTCTCAGAGTACCCCCCTTTATTCGGGGCTTCCCTGCGCACTACACTGTTTCCTCCCTCAGCTTCTTACTGCTCCTCTTCCACCAAAATCTTTTCATTGTGTCTAGTGAAACCCACTAGTGTCATGGGATAAACTCTACAGTCTTAAGATATTCACATTTTTTCTTGATTTAACTAAACCCTGCCCTCTCTCTCCTACCTACCTGGTACTTTTACATTTTTCTTTCATGATCATTCACTTTATTAGTTAAGAATTTAATTTTGCAACTTTAATGGAGTCCAAGTGGTTTGGACAAGAAAGACAATTTATTTCTTCCTTATATAAAAGTCTAAGTTGGTAGGTGGCTGGTCGCAGTGAGGATCGGGTGGGGTAGGTAGCTCTGGTCCATAAGTTCCTCTAGAAACCCAGGTTTGACCTATGTTTTTGCTCCACCACACTCTAGGGTCCTCTCTGTGGTGAAAGCTGGAAAGGGAGACGGAGAACTGGAGGGAAAACAGCTCTCTTTTAAAGGTGTCACCTCGAAGCTGCATATTGTCTCTTTTATTCCGATCCCATTTGCAGACATGGCACCCCTGCCTGCAAGGAGGTTCGGAAATTCTCTAGCTGGGTCACCTTGCAGCCAGCTGAGACTTCTTCAGGCCTCTGTCAAGTAGAAGGGGAGACTGGGTGTTGAAAGGCAATGAGTAGTCTCTGCTCCATTGGCCTACTTAAGTTTTCTGCTGTTTGAGTCAGTTTTAGAAAAATTTTAAAGAAAAATTGTTCTTTGGGAAATTTTATTTTTATTGGCATACTGTTTTAAGACGTTTTACCTGTTACAGCCCCTTTCTTATTTCTATTTTTAGTTTATTGGTCTTTTTTCTTTTTGACTGGTCTGTGGCTTGTGTATTTCATTATTTAGAGAATCAGCTCCTGCCTTTGACCGCTGTTTTTGTTTGTTTTTCTTACTCATTAGTGTCTTCCTTTATTATTTCTTCTTTATGGCTTGTTAATTATTTTCTTCAGTTGAATGTTTAATATTTTCATTGTTTAAAATTTTGTTTGAAATTATTTAGGGATATAAATTTATTCTCTTTAAAGCTTTGTTAGCAACCCAAGCATTTTAAATCTATAATACTCTTATTTTCTAATTCAGAGTTCTCTCTTTGACTTACTAGCTACTCAGGAGGGTTTATTTTAATTTCCAGGTGATAAGTGTTTTTTCCCCCCTCCCTTCAGACTTCCATTTACATTTGTAATTCTACCATATCATAGTTAGAGAATGTAGTGTATTCAGTTTCTTCTTTTCATTGAAATTTTCTTTGGTCAGTGGTGTATGATAAGTGTTATCAAGTGCTCCATGGATGCTTGAAAATAACTTTCGAGTATAAGTCTTAATGTACCCATATCTACTTAAATTGTATATCTCTGATCTTTGAATTTATAATAGCTTTGATTTATTACAATTCTTATTTTTCAGAAGATAGTTGTATCATTTCAGATGAGCTTCTGAGCAACATAAGCTGTAAGATTAGATTAAAATCTACTGTTTATTGAGCAAAAGCTCCATAGTGAACCTTAGGGAAGCCAGGTGCCCATTCAGGGCAGGAGCAGATTTGGCAAACAGAGTCTAATTGAGGGGCAACGAAGCTGCTGCTAATTGGCAGAGCTCCTCTTCAGCTCCACATGGCTGCTTACTGATCCTGTCTTTAGAAAGACTCCACAGTCATCAGTCTTTCTGGTCAGGATGTCTGCTTTTCCTGTTGGTTTTACAAACAGTTGTTTGTAAGACAGTGTTTCTGTGCCCCCATCCAAAGGTTATGTTGCCCAGTTCAAACATTCTAAAGGTTCAAGGAGCGAGAGGTGCAAGGTAGTTGCTCTGGCTCCATTTTCAAAGGGCCCACATGTCAACTTTACATCACAAGCTGATTTAGGGGGAAAGGTGTGGGCATTGGAATTAGACTGCTTTGGAGTTACGGGTGGCCTTGAATAAGTAAATTTATTTTTCTAATCCTCAGTTTTTCATGTATATATATAATTCCCATTGGATTGATGTGAAGATCAAATGAGAAAGTATTTTAAAAGTTCTTTGTACAATGTCTGGCCTGCTACCTGTGACTACATTTAATAGTATTAAAAATCTCAAGATATCCAGGAACAAGAATCTTTTCCTCACTGATCTTGGGGCTTACTCTTGTGGTCTTTACGGAAGTCACTCTCACTTGGATGTCAAGATTCCAGCTTGGTGAGTCTGAGATGAACAAGGCAGGACTGGTTTTCATGGCTTATTTCTCTTTCTCAGACATCTTTGTAGGACTCCGTTCCGTCTAGGGAAGGGAACAAAGAAGAGGACAATGGCTACTGTGGTTTCTTCAGCTGGACCTCTGGTAAGTTTGGGTTTCCTTTGTTTCTGATCGGCTGTCTTGGTTTGAGGACATGTCTTTTCCTAAAGTCTTGTAACTCTCCTGCCTTACCCACACGCCTTCTGGAAACTGAACCAAATCGTTTGATATGTGAGTAAAGGCTGTAATCTATAGGAAGATTCACTACACATATTGAACCAAATTTCAAGATCTTTCAAAAAAATATTGGGACTATCTTTGAATATGATAGGTAGCCTGGGAAATTTATTTATGGTGTTAAATGTGTATTGTTCCCAGGAAATTTCAGTTATTTAGTGAGTAGTAAAATGGGATATTTTTCAATTGGAAAATTTCATTTAGGAAATTTTGGGGAAAAAACAAATGTATACACATACTCACACTCTTAATTCATATATACCACATCCACACTCTCAGTGATTTCCTCTTTTTTACCCATTAAGAAGTGTTCAAGCTTAATAGGTGACATGGAGAGAAGATATTTAAGACAATGCTTGGCTGTAGGGAGCTTACATTCTCATTGAGGTAAGGCAAACAAAAGAAATAGTTACATTTATTTAGGTAGATGGTATTTTCGTAGCAATTATGATAAAGATGATGAGTGCTATGTAAGGAAAGAAATGGGACATTAGTATGGGCTGAATTAGTCATGGAAAACTCATGAGGATAGTTTGGTATAAGCTGGTATTCAATTACAAGTGGAATTTAAATTGTCAAAGTATTTGTGAAGGTATCTCAGGGGAGAAAGGAGTTTAGGGCAAGGCTCTGAGGCAGAGAACAGTGGTGAGCTAGTGATTCAAGATGGAAAATTGAAAGATAGGACTGGAATTAGATATTTAAGCTGAATCTTTTAATGTTTCTCTGAAGACATTTTAGAGTGTGTGTGCTTGGATGTGTATGAGATGGGTCTTGATGGAAAGAAGGCTGTGTTTTAGAAGTGCCTTTTTGAAGTACATAGATTCAGAAGAAAGGTACTGCCAACAAATGGAATTTTTATAGTAATGATCCATAGTAACCTGTAGTAGTGATCTTTTATTCTTTGTAACCAGGATATATAACATGTAACTGGTCCTTAAAACATACCCTTGAAAAGATTAATAAAAACCAAAATGTTGCACTTGATTAGTAGACCCAAATATCTGTCTAGTATTTGCCTGATCAAACCCATCCCTAATTATCAGAGGTTGAAGTTCACATCATTGTACAAACTTGGGAGGAGAGAACTAAGATAACATTTTTCTCAATGAAATTTAAGTAAATACTTTTAGCCATATATTTTTTAATGGCACAAAATCTAAAATTGATAAGTGCTACTAGAAGGTATAGTAAAATTTCATTTCATTTATAAAATCAGGCCCTTGTAGGGACATAGTTTCTAAGGTTTAGAAGAAAACAATGTTATGAGACGTCCCTGAAAATACTTCCTGAGCACTGAGACGTGCTGCCCTCCCAAACACTGTAATGATTCAACTGTAGAAAACAGTGTTAGTAGGTTTTGAATATTATTCTTGAGCAAGTTAGATACTTTCTGAGAAATAGGTTTCACCCCCCATATGAAAAGGAGAATTATGTAACATCTGCAGGCCCCTTATTATAAATATGTTTGTTTTGATCAGTTCTTTATTAAAAGCCTTCTTTAAACACTGCAGTTATATCTTTCTCAATCTTGTGTGTGTGTTATTGTCTCAACCAAGGTGAAAGGACATTATGATTGGATGTTACTATGGGACCTTGATATCATCCCTAAATGAAACAGTAAAAGAAGTCATCCCATATATATCAAATCCACAGCGGACTGCTGGTGCTTTTTGAGGCTCTGCTGTAGGTCATAGGCAGCCTATTATTGAGTGACCTTATCCTATATCCCTCAGAGTCCTGAAGTTTCCCAGCCAGATGAAGATAATCTTCAGGCAGAAGAACCAGAATTGGTAAAGGTAATACTTACCATTGCATGTAAGGGAAATAAAGAGAATGCTCCTCTTTTACTGCCCCTAATTCTTAATGTTCCCTGTTCATTTCAGGTTCACAGTGAATACGATCTTGAGTGGTAGCTGTAGTAATCCCAGGGCTGGTAGCATCAATTTGACAAATTTTATTTCTCTCAGTGGCAGCTCTAATTTGACAGATAGTCACATCATAATTGCCAGTGATGAAGTATCCTGTATCACAGTCTGATTCTTGCTTCATATTGCAAGACCCAATACCATTAAAAATATCAAGAATTGCCCTGGCAGGTTGGCTCAGTGGTTAGAGTGTCGCATGAGGACTGAAGGGTCCCTGGTTCGATTCTGTCCAACGTCACTTACCTTGGTTGCAGGCTCCATCCCCGGCCCTAGTCAGGGTGCATGTGGGAGGCAACCAATTGATGTCTCTCTCACATCGATGTTTCTGTCTGTCTCTCTCTCTGTCTCTCTCCCCCCCTTCCACTCTCTCTGAAAAAGCAGTGGAAAAATATTATCAGGTGAGAGAAAAAAACATAAAGAATACATCAACATCAGTTCGTATTTTTAAAAAATATTCCCATTCTTAAGATGAGTTTGTTTATATATTTTTATTTCATTCTGTTTGTTAAGTTTACTTTGTGAATATAGAATCCACCTGCTTTTTCGAGAAAAATATCAAAATCAGAAATGAATAAATTGTGTTAAGAAAAATTATCCAGGGAGAAACAAGATGGTGGCGTAGGTAAGAGCTGTACCCTCCGCGTCCCACAACCACATCAAAATTATAACTAAAATACAGAACAACCATCGCTCAGAAGCTCGTGAAATCTGGCTGAACAGAAGCCCTACGATCAGGGAACTGAAGAAGCACTGAGACCAGCAGGAGGGGCAGAGACTCGGTAGTGGGCCTGCACCCTGTGCCGCGGTTTAAACCCAGGAGGGACGTCTCAGCGATGGAGGTTTCCTGGAGGAGTGAGGGGTGCAGCCCCACATTGGGCCCCCAGCCCAGGGCTCCAGGGCTGGGAAGAGAAGTACCCACAACTTCAGGCTGTAAAAACCAGCAGGGACTGGTGCTGAGGGACATGGGGGCTGCAAGAGCCCCAGCTTTCCTCTTAAAGGGCCTGCACACAGACTCACTCAGAAGCACTTCTCCTGAGCCCTAGCACTGGGCAGCAGCTTGAAAGGAACCTGGGACATTCAGGGAGGAACTAACTTGCCTGAAATTGGGCCAAGAGGTGGAGGGGCAGCTTTCTCCCAGGCAGAAGGGCTGGCAGAGGCCATTGCTCCTTTGGTGAGCCCTCTCCCACAGAGCTGGCAGGCAGATACCATATTTGAATCTCCAGCATCTGACTCACACCTTTAGCCCCACCGTGGTGATTCCCAGAGACTCTGCCCCTCCCTACTTGCAAGCTCATCTAAGCCATTTCCAGTGGTTTTCTATGAAAGTGGTTTTTTGAGCCTTATGCTTAGGACTTTCCTAAAATCTCTCAAACAAGCAGCAGCTTGCCTCAGTGTGACCCATACAGCTTGATAAGTGGCCCCAGGCCTGGCACTGGTGGCAGCCTGCACTGGTTCATGGTTTGGCCTCTCCTGGACAACGCCAAGCCCAGCACAACTAGTAGCCAACTATGGTTTGCTATGTAGCTCATGCTGGGTGGCCCTGGACAAGGCACTGGCAGAGGCTGACTTTGCACCTCCAGGGAGGCCCCAGAGACAGACCACCTGGTGGTCAGACTTGACCATGCTGGATTACAACAATACCATATCCACGAGTGACACACTCAAGGGGTGCACTTGGTGAACACCAAAACTCCACTAAAGTCAGTCCTGCACCACAGGAGTGTCTCCAGCACAGCAGCTCTTTGGCTGTAGCCGCAGCTAGTCCTCACAGCCGATTGGCCTGGGGTCAATTACTCCCAGTCATGCCAACAGCAACTAAGGTTTGACTACAGCAGGGCAGTGCACGCAGCCCACACAGAGGAGCACCTAAAAGGCCCAGCTCAGGTGACTGGGGAGGCTGAGCCACTGGACCCTACAGGACACCTACTACACAAAGCCACTCTACAAATTCTAGGAGATAAAGCAGCTCTACCTAATACATGGAAACAAACACCTGGAAGCAGCCAAAATGTGGAGGCAAAGAAACATGTCACAAAGGAAAGAACAGAAGAAATCTCTAGAAGAGGAACTAAATGAAATAGATCCAAGCAAGCTAACAGANCTAAATGAAATAGAACCAAGCAAGCTACTAGATACAGAGTTCAGAATTATGGTTATAAGGATGCTCAAGGATCTTAGTAAGACTATTACGAAAACAACTGAGACCATTGATGACCTAATAAAGTATCAATTAGAAATGAAGGCTACACGAACTAAAATGAAGAATAATTTACAGGGAGTCAACAGTAGAGTAGAGAATGCTGAGAATCAAATCAGCAATTTGGAGTATGAGGAAACAAAAAACACCCAACCAGAAGAGCAAAAAGAAAAAA